ATTTAATATTATAATAAATATATTTTATTACTTTCAAAAAATACAGATCCAGAAATTTATTTACAAGAAATGGAAGATAAAGATGATAAATAATGATTTTTATTATTAAGTTTTTAATTTTTTTTTAAAAAACTAACTAATCTGTAATATAAGCTTTTTCATCTAGTGTATAGTTTAAAAGGCATCATATTGGTCTTAATCGTCTTAAATCACTTATAAGAACTATTTATATCAATGTGAATTAATATTAAAAATAGAAAATTGTTTCTCATATTGGTAGAAAAACTATAATACAGGCTTTGAAAAGTTTTGGTGAATCTATTTTTAATATTCAAAAACAATTACATCATAAAAGTGATAAAAGTTTGCGTTCATATTTATCAACAGGTAAACAGATCTATTACATATGATGGAAAATTTAGCTGAAAAAATAACTGAAAGTAGCAAAAATCAAAAACATAATAATACAATTTTTTTTTACTTTATTATTTTATTATATTTTAAGTTATTCTAACATTTTTTTTTTCTTTTTTATATTAGCATTTCAGGAAATAACAGCTAATTCTAGTTTAAATAGGCATTACAAGGTATACTTTAAATAATAATATTTGTAATTATTAACAATTATACTGTTATACTAATTTTTTTTATAATACACAACATTTATAGTCATCAAAAATATAACATAAATTCAAATTGTATCTAGTCTTTCAATTTAAATAATATTAAAAAAACACCTCTCGTTTTGATTTGAATTTTTCTTTAGCTACTGAATATAAATAAACATAATTACTGAATTTCTCTTTTTCTTTTTCGAAACCAAATCGATTTTCTTATAGTTTATGTTATAATCTTTCAAAAAATCGGCTTACATTTTGAATTAAATTATTATTCAAAAAGTTATCAGAGTTTAAAGTTAGATATACAATGGCTACCAAAAGAAACGCAAGTGTGATTGGTTACGTTTGAACGGCTATATCTCATCAACCACAAATGCTAGAAACATGATCTTGTACTTGTTTTAAAGCCCAAATCTTGAAGGATATCCTGACGAAA